GGCACTCTACCCAGGGGGACAGCTTGAGGCTCTGTCTCAAAAAAAAAAAAAAAAAGAAATCAGCTCTTCTAAAAGCACATAGAAAGGGGTTTTCCCTTGGTATCCATGGGGGACTGGTTCCAGGACAGCCTGGGGATACCAAAACCAATAAACGTTTGAGTTCTGCAGTTGGCTCTGCAGAACCTGTGGAGTTGTTTTCCATACACAAGCAGGCTTCACATCCTGAGAGCACCATATTTTCAATCTGAGTTGGGTCACTGATACAGAACCCTTTGTTGCACATAAAGAAAGAAGACTGACAGTATTTATTGAAAAAAAAAATCCAAATGTGAGAGAACCTGTGTAGTTCAAACAAGTTGTCCACAGATCAATGGTACTTCCTATTACACACAGGGCATCTCAGGAAGGAGGGAAACACTATACACAGTATGTCCACTGAAGTCTCTGATCGATACATCCCTACTGCTGTGCATTATAAGAAAATAGTCTTTACTAAAATGCTAACTGAATTTTTGTTGAGATATTCATGGCGAACAAAAGATTCCTTATCTGGGAGAAAAAAGGGAGCAAGCTCTGTAGTATTTTATCAGTATAACCCCATCTTATTGGGCATGCGTACTCTTCCCCTGAGACTGCCCTCACCTCCTCAAAACGAGCTCGGATGATGGTGATCCAGTGTTTGATGGTTGTGATGCAATCAGGGTGGCAGACAGCCAGGATTACTTCCCCCATGGCTACTGCTGAGTTAACATCTATTCGCTTTTCTTCCACTTTTTTCATGAACTCCTAAACAATAAAGATTTGAAAACAAAATCACAAGAAATCTACTTTAGCAACATTATTGGGTTGACACTGGGGTGTGTATGTGTGTGATTTTGGTGTTAATTTTTCCTTCATGTGTTGTCACAGATTTCTAAAAGTTAGTATTTAGGTGTCTTTGGCATTTTCCTTCCAGTTCTAAAAGATGTGGGAAGGTGAGGGGTTTACAAAAGAATGACTTAACTCAGCAGCATTATATTTTATAGCTTGGCAAGTGGTTCTGAGGAATCAGCCCAGGGCCCAAAGCTAATAATGTAAGCAAAGTCAAAGGCATGTGCAGGTGAGGAATAAGGAAGATGAAACAGTCCACATTCCTCTTTATATACTATTATGTTTTAAAATTTCTTTATAGGCTGGGTGCAGTGGATAGCTTGGGAGGCAGAGGCAGGTGGATAGCTTGAGCTCATGAGTTCAAGACCAGCCAGAGCAAAACTGAGACCCCTGTCTACTAAAAATAGAAAAAGTGAGGCAAGAAGATCGCTTAAGCCAAAGTTGGAGATTACCGTGCGCTATGATGCCACAGCACTCTACCCAGGGCTAGATTACCTTATGGGTGTCAATGAGTGACTGCAGAGCCTCTGTGTCATCAGGAAGTGCTCCCCGAAATCGAAGTGTTTGTTCTGCTTCAGAAAGCCACTCCAACAGCATGTGGACTGTGTCCCGAAACTCTTCTGCCTGAAATAACCAAGCACAAAACACTGAACCTCTCTCTACAGCTGGAGTCCTAAGACATCAGGGACACATCAGGGCGAGGGTCCATGACTAAATACTTCAGTGTGACACAGGCTTCTGTCAGCCCTACCAAGGTTCTACGAGGGTCATCTTTCATTTGTAGATCTTTAAAAATCAACTGAATTTTTCTAATACAAATGAGTGTGACAGTCTCATAGAACATTCAGAACATCAGTATTTTACTTTGTCATGTTTATTTCAAGCCTGGCTGGAACTGATCCTAATAAAGAAAGGAAGATGAATTTGATCAGATCCACTCCCTTGGGTTGGCACAGCAAATGTCTCTCACCTGTTTTAAGGCCTGCTCAAGTCGGCTTTGTTTGGAAACAGAGAGTTTACACACAGTGTCCCAGCGAGTGCTCAGTTCCTGGAGCTGCCCCTTCACCCAAGTGGTGTCATCTCGACTGTTCTCAATCAGCTCTCGGCCTGACCGCTTCAGGACCTGAACAGTCCCTGTTCGCTTTCCCAGTTCCTTCTGGAAAACCTAAAAGAGAAAATAGAATTAGGTTGAGAAATTTAAGTCCAAGAAACAAAAACACAGAGAAAGTAATCATTTTCTTGGTAGGCTCTAATCATGAGTCTTTTATGTACCAGGAGAGACAGGTGTATGATAAAGAACCAGAAGATGTGGCTCAGAAAGTCAGGACAGGCATTTATGAGCTATGTGATTTTGAATAAGCTGCTTAACTTGAGTACCAGTTTCCCATAAAATGGGAATAATTATACTAACATTTCAGAACTATCAGAGACATAAGAACACAAGAACACATCTGCTGTGTACCTAGTAAGAAAATTTTTGTAATTTCAAGGTAAAGTTGTGTGCTTTGTGTTCAAACAGGAAGATATGACGTAGATCAAATTAATAGGCGTAGATTACACTAATACTGGTGTGCATAGTGTTATGAGGATTATTATGTTCATGAGTGGTTTCAAAAATAACTTTTCCATTTCTGGAGTTAGTGGAAATGGATATCTTGAGGATTTCTTTCTGAATTTAAATTTTGTATTGCAAATAAGAGAGACAAGCAGTAAGAGGGTGAAGCTTAAAGTGAAGTTTACACATTGCCAAATCTGCATCAAACCAATTTTGGTAAATTCTTTGTGAGTGATGCAGAATTCCAGCAACAGTTTGTTTAAACACAAACAGAACAAGGAGCTGCAGGGATGGTTAACAAAAAGGAGAAGATGCACGGAGGTGGAAGGTCCCAGAGCTTTGCACTTCACAAAGCCCGGATCTCAACCCTTACCTTATGGGCATCCATGAGGTTCATGACAAGGTCAAGGTCCCCATGCACAGGCTGGTCCTCGGCCAGCTGTGGCTCCACCTTATACAACCAGTCAACCAAAGCCTGCAAAGCATCCATGAACTGGCCTGAAAACAGCAGGGCTTCCTCCAACTTGTGTTGCCTGAGAAATGCACACAAACCCCACCATTTTTAGAAATTCTTTTTATGAATGGCCCACATTTTTTCCTTTTTTTCTTTTTTAGAGACCCTTCTCACTTTATTGCCCTCGATAGAGTTGCCATGGCGTCATAGCTCATAGCAACCTCCAGCTCTTGGGCTTAGGCGATTCTCTTGCCTCAGGCCCCCGAGTAGCTAGGAACACAGGCGCTGGCTACAACACCCAGTTATTTTTGTTGCTATTTTTACGGACCTCTCCCTTTCTGATATAGTAAGGTTCAAGTTTAAAATGAAAATGTTAATATATTTTATTCAAATTGTTTCATGAGTCTCTTTGAATTAACTAGAGATGTTAAGATGGTCCCAAAGCTTTTACATAAGCTTTATCACCATTTTATAGATCTAATCACAGTCTCTGAGTCACTTTTGGGATCCCAGAAACCTCTGGGGGGTCATTTATGCTCACCGCTCCACAGACTTGCCACAAACAGTATCCCACTTATCTCTGACTTCTCCCAGTAAGTTGTCAAGTTTCTGGGTATCATCAGGAAGCAAAGTCTTTTCTTTCAGTGCTCTGCCAGTTCTAATTGTGGTATCATATACTGGCTGTTTGCCACCAAGAGTTTTCTGAAATTCCTATTTCCAGAAAGAAAAGAAAAAAATATGTTAAAAGTCACATGTATCATAATTTGGAACAAACTGAAAATTGAGTTTTCAGGGTAGTCATCAAAGACAGTATAAATACACTACTTTTTTTTTCTTTTAAAGAAGGCAAGGCTTACTACAGTGGTATAATCACAACTGTCTGTAACCTGAAACTCCTGGGCTCAAGCAATCCTCTTGCCTCAATCTCCCTAGTAGCTGGGACTACAGGTGTGAGCCACTGCATCTAGCCTTTGAATATCATTGTTTTTTTTTTTTTTGAGACAGAGCCTCAAGCTGTCCCCCTGGGCAGAGTGCCGTGGCATTACAGCTCACAGCAACCTCCAACTCCTGGGCTCAAGCGAGTCTCCTGCCTCCGCCTCCCAAGTAGCTGGGACCACAGGCGCCCGCCACAACGCCCGGCTATTTTTTGGTTGCAGCTGTCATTGTTGTTTGGCGGGTCCGGGCTGGGGATTTGAACCCGCCACCTTAGGTGTACGTGGCTGGCGCCTTAGCCGGTTGAGCTATAGGCGCCGAGCCGAATATCATTGTTTTAAACTAAAATTAATAATAGTTTGTCTTTAAGAGATCTGTATATTTTATTTTTTATGTATTAAAAACAGAGATGGGGCTTGTAGCACAGTGGTTATGGCACCAGCCACATACACCAAAGTTGGAGGGGTCTAACCCAGCCTGGGCCAGCTAAAACAACAATGACACAACTGCAACAAAAAATAGCCGGGCATTGTGGTGGGCGCCTGTAGTTCCAGCTACTTGGGAGGCTGAGGCAAGAGAATAGCTTAAGCCCAAGAGTTTGAGGTTGCTGTGAGCTGTGATGCCATGGCACTCTACTGAGGGTGACATAGTGCAACTCTGTGTCAAAAAAAAACAAAAACAAAAACAAAAACAAAAAGAGATATAGGATCAGTGTCATTCAGACTGGTCTCAAACTCCTGACCTCAAGTGATCCTTCCATCTCAACCTCTTAAAGGGCTGGGATTACATGTGTGAGTCACCGTGTCCTGCCTGACACTTATTTTTTCTCTATGCCATATTCAGCACTGCTTGATAATTTCTAAAAGTTTAAAGTTTTGGAGTTTCTTCTTGAGACAGACTCTCATACTGTCAACCTGGATAGCGTGTAGTGGTATCACAATTAACTCACTATAACCTCAAATTCCTGAGCTCAAACCTGTTCCTACCTTATCCACCTGAGTAGCTGAGACTACAGGTGTATAACACCCTGCTCAGCTCATTTTTTTTTTATTTTTGGTAGAGATGGGGCCTTGTGCTTGCTCAGACTGGAAGCCTATAGTTTTAATTGGTTACTCTCATAACCACTTTGTTTAAACTGTTACTTAAAAAAACAAATATGGTTAGTCGGATGTCTAAATGGAACTCTGGCTTCATCATCTCCACTTGTCAACATTAACCAACTGGTTTTCTTTTAACTATCTCTGATTTGTCTTTTTAGCAAGCTATAGGCTTTAGTGAATACCAAGCTCAGGACTTAAGAACATGGAACTGCTTTACCTTATGTTTGGAGAGCTGAAGTTTAATTTTGTCTGGGTCATTGGATATTTCCAGTTCTGAGTCCAGGTGACTCTCTGCATCTTCTAGCCAGTCAATCAGTTTCTTCCAGGCTTCATGGAACTAAAATTATACCGGAAATAAGTTATGACAGGAACAAATATGTAAACCATACAACACAGTCATAAGACCCATTCCACAGACCTGATATATACAGCCGAAGGTGTTTGATAAATTAGTATTTTTCTTTTACAACTTACTTGTTTTGCCCGCTTCCTGGCATCATCTAGTGATCGGCCTCTTTCAATGGATCTCTGGACAACCTTCTCCCACCGAGACTGGACACTAACCAACAAATTCTTGATCAGAACAACATCCTGTTTTTGGCTAAGGAACTTTAACTGATTCCCGGTTTGATCAAGTTCGATGATCTGGTCTCGATGAGCATTCACCTCATTAGCAAAAACCTGAGGGAACAATATTGCTGTTTTTAAGCTTAAGATAATGGGATATTCCTATCAAAAGAGAGGCAACAAAATAGTGTCACAGTTACCTTGTGCTCCTCTATCTGGGAAAGAACAGTGTTTAGAATCAGGCTTGGGGGAGAAGCGATGTTTAAACTCTGCTCTGCTAGAGTGAGCCAGTTGATAAATTCTTGTAGGGAATTCTGGAATTCTGTTGCCAGGTTGAGGGCCTCTTCCAGCTTTGACTGAATTTTAAGTAAAACATACAAAATGAAAAAGTGCCAAATTCAGGAATTACAGCTTCGATGACAAAGGCGTGAATTGTACACCAAGTGAAATGACCGCTAAAAGGAAAGGCTCATTTAATCAACCTCCAAGCATGCCTTGTTTGTAAAGAAAAGGACATTTTAGTGTTTGAAACAAAGGACTGGACAAGAACAGTGTACATGGAGAAGGAAGGAGAGCACAACGTGTGGCTAAGTTCCTTTCTTTACCACTCTCCACTTCCTGGAAGAGGAATAAAACTATTCACTAAATGTAAGAGAACAGACCCTTCAGCGGTGACAGCTGCACGAGCTACAACCTGCTTCGAGTGAAGTCTCATTTTTCTTTAACATATTTTGTGTGGTGTAAAAACAGCAAAATTAAAAGCATTTTACTATAAAGATAATGTTTAAATACATGTGTTCAGAAAATATGGGATATAAAAATGTCTGAGTCAGAAACTTATGCTATAAGCAGAAAGGTAAAAAAAGAAGCCATGACATGCATGCAAAAAGGAACAACATTAGATGCAAATTTTCAGACGCTCTGGTCCAAATCAAAAGAGCAAAAACAATGGTTCACTGAGTGGCTCATTTACTGCAAGTGCTACTTTCTATAAGGACACCTCGATTCCATGGAGTCCACCACGAGGTCTACCCTCAGAGACCACTCTCCTCAACATCCTGCTTCTGGACTATCTACCAAGGAGGCAAAGTAAAATGATGACAGGGTGTTAAAAAATAGATATATATCCAAATTATTCATAGAACCCCCCCCCCAGATGTATACTAAAAAGGGTAACACTATTAATTCCAGTTTGTTGGGTTATATATAATTTTCATTTCCTAGTGCTGTCAGGTTACTTTTGTAACTACCCCTTCAAAACAAAAAATTATAATAAATGTTATAAAAATGTACAAACCCAAGCTACACAAATCAATTAGAAAAATGAAATCTTTTGGGAGCAAATACATGATCCTTAATCATCTTTATCTGCTTTTGTAGAGAAAAGAACTTGATTTTTGAAGAACAGGAGGAAGAAAGAGGCCATATAATTTACATCGCTCCTAAATTTCCTAGTATATAGCACTTATACTAGAAAACCAATTCCCTGTGGAGAACAGTCACATTCCCTATATGCCCTGTCCTTACTCGCACTACCCTGAGTCACTACTTTCAACAAAACTTTGTTTTTAAATAGGAACACAAATCAGTAATTAATAGGAGCTATAAAGTCCATCACTGATCAGTAACAGAAAGTAATGTCTTAACTGGTAGAGGTAGAAAAAAAAAAGAATAATTATAAAAGCAAATATCAGCAGAAACTAGTAACAGCAGAAAAGATAACCAGATCTGAGGGCTATTAGTTCTGTAACTTTTGTTACAACATATTGGTCTTTGAAAAATCTTCATAAACAAAATGGCAATTATCGCACATGCAATCACTAAGCAGGCTCCTCAAACACAGTAACGACACATTGGATTTTGTGGCGATACCTTTCTTTCTTCCATCTTACTGCTGACCACGTGCCACTTCTGCTCCAAGAGTGCAACACTCTGTTCTGTCTTAGAGCCAGACCCCGAGTCATCACGGCTTAGCAGCATGAGCCTGCCCTTGTCAAGCAGCTGATTGTAAGTCTCTTCTTTGGCTTTTAGCTGGGAATAGAGTTCCTACAAGAAAAGGCAGGATTATCTATTTGTTTTCTTGATGTTCTCACCTTAAAGTCAATATTTTAAAAAAATTTTATTATTATTATTTTTGAGAAAGAATCTTAACTCCGTTGCCCTTGGTAGAGTCCTATGGCATCACAGCTTGTAGCAACCTCAAACTCTTGGGCTCAAGTGATCCTCTTGCCTTAGCCTCCTGAGCACCTGGGACTTAAATGCCTACCACAACGCTTGGCTAGTTTGTCTATTTTTTTACTAGAGCCAGGTCTCCCTCTTGCTCAGGCTGGTCTCAAACTCCTGAGCTCAAGCAATCCACCAATCTTGGCCTCCCAGGATGCTAGGTTTACAGGTATGGTGTGAACCACTGCACTGGCCTCAAGTCAATACTCTTGTGCCAATCAAATTGATCAACTCAAGATTTACCAGCTCACCAATGTATTTCCAGTTGACTCTTCCCTGCTGCTTATAGAAAAATATTAAAAGCCTATAATAAGCAGGAATCTGCAAGGTTTTACTATGTTGTTGGTAAAGATGCACTATGTAGATTCCCAGATACATATATCACTGTGAGTTCAGAAAGCTACTGAATATGCGAATGCTTATGCAAATTTCAAGCAACTGCCATTACCATGTGTGTATCAAGCTGTTCCCTAGCAGTTTCCGGGAGTCCTCCTGTGGGCTTAGATGCAGAAAGCTGGCTTTCCATTCTAGTTAGTTCCAAGAGGAAATCTTCAATTTCACTGTGGAAACCCTGGGCCTTTTGAGAAAAAGACATATGAGTAATGTCAGTAGTTAATTTTCAGCTTCAAAAGTAAACTTTCTTTTTTTCTTTTTTTTTTGTTGTTGCTGAGACAGGGTCTCACTCTGTCGCTAGAGAGTAGTGGCATCATTACAGCCCACCGTAATCTTAAACTCCTGAGCTTAAGCAATCCTCCTAAGCAGCTAGAACTACAGGCATGTGCCACCATGCCTGGATAATTTTTTCTATTTTTTATAGAGATAGGGTCTAGCTATGTTGCTTAAGCTGCTCTCAAAGCCCTGGCCTCAAATGATCCTTCTACTGTGTATCTCAGCCTTCTAAAGTGCTAGGACTACAGGGATGAGCCAACATGCTTGGCCAAAAGCAAACTTTCTAAATGATCATACCAGGAATTTATCTGGAGGGTGAACCTTTGGGCTGTTCATAGGCAGAGCTCCTCTGTTGCTGTATTAACAGGGGCTCAATATACTTATTTATTGTTAGAATCTAGCAGGTTCCTTCAGACCTCACTAAAACCTATTACAGGTGTCTGATATAATCTGATGAATTAACTGTAGGACTAAGGCTCTGTTGACTAGGGGGGAATCTGACTCAATCAAGGAAAAAACCCAATCTGTGAACAAGGTTTTTACAGTGAAGATCTACTAGTTCTGAAAATACAGAGACTGGGCTATAAATGAATCCAAAAGAGAACTACCCAATCAAAAGCTGCTCTTTCTAGACAAGTTTTAGCACAGAAAGGACCTTCCCCTTAAAAAGCAGCGGTCCTACTCCCAATTGCTTCCTCTGACTTAGACAGGCTCTCTGGTATATGCACAGCTCTTCCTCACTAGCTTGGACGTCACACTCACCTGCTGTAGTGTTGACTGAAGCTGCTGCTCCCTCTCCTCCGTTTTTTGTAACACCGACTCCCAGCACTGGTTCATAGTCTCCAAACGGCTCCTTAAGCTGCTGGCATCATCTCCAGCACTTGATTCAAGCAGCTCATTGCCAGCTTTGTTGACTGTTTCCACTGTGGCTTGATGAGCCAAAACATCATTTTTTAGAACCTAAGAAATGTTGAAAAATATAATTTGTCTCTATGATATCATATCAAGCCTGAGTTCCCTAAGAAACACACATGAAAAAGCTTCTGGTGGCAATACAGTCTCTGCTCTAATAGAGACAGAGATGAAAAAATGAAAATACTTACATGGTGCTTTGCGAGCTCAACTTCAATGACTTTTGGGTCTCCGCTTACTGGTCTCTGAGCATCTAACAGCTCTTCAGTGTGTATCAGCCAGCTCATTAGTTCCTCTAAGGCATGTTGGAACTGGCCAAGGGCCAAGAGAGCACCTTCTAACTTATGCTACTCAGAAACAGAAAGGGAACATTCATTAGGAAATTAGAAGAGAGCAAGAGGGGGTCACTGATGTACCCTATCACACGCCTTACCTGTCTGTGGGCGATTTTCTCACCCAGGTTCTCCCAGAGGTGTTTCAGTTCTGTCAGTGGCTCGCGTATAATGTCTCTGTCTGTCTCATCAGTAGCTTTCTTTAGCATCAGTTCACCCTGGTGATTGAGCTTCTCCATCTCAATTTGTTGTTGGTAAACTTCCACTTTGAACTCCTATCAAAGACATACTTAATGTTAGCATCAAACCAAGCCTTTAAAAACTAAAAACCAGGGTGGTGCCTGTGGCTCAAAGGAATAGGGTGCCAGCCCCATATACCAGAGGGGGCAGGTTCAAATGCAGTCCTGGCCAAAAACAAACAAAACAAACAAACAAAACTCCCCCTAAAAACCAGCAGCTCTTCTTCAAAAGTCACTTCCAGATACAAACCTTCATTTCATTTAATTGATCTTTAACAGTGTTGAGGTCAGTGCCAACAGGGGGCATGGTGCAGAGTTTAATCACAGTGTTATCCAGCCAGTCAAACATTGCCTAGAATAAAAATATAAGTAAATAGTCAAAAATAAAAATAGAAGTTGATAGAGAATTAGCATTATCCCTGTTAATATAAGAAGGGGTAAATCAAAGTACCTATGCTGTCTGCATACTTAGGTAGGGGGCAGAGATAAAGGATAATAACCTTTGCTCTAGTAATACAGAGATTTAAGAACAGAGCCAACAATAGAGGGATGATGCCCAAAATAAACCACATCCTGGAAATACTAAATTTGAATAAAAGTTAACATATCTCTTTGCCAGTTAGAAAGCTCATTGTTACGTGTTGTGCTTCAAGATAACCTGGATTTGGGACCTCTAGCAAGCAATGACTCTCACAGTAAGGCCTGCTTCACTGCACAGCTGAATGAGTGTAGCTATGCTAAGCACGCAATGCTGATGATAAGAACAATAGGAAGAACAGAAATTCAGACATACGTCATTACTTTTCTCAGTAGAAGTGGTAAACTGGGGTTAGAATGGAGAAACAGCACTGTCTTAGGTTTGAGAATGTCCTGTGAGAAGTGACCCACTTCTGAGAGGAATTCAGGAAACAACTGCAGGTGAAACCTGGCTTTCCACGGTTGTCGCCTCCTGGCCTCTCACCTGCAGAGTGTCCTGATACTGCACAGCAGCTTGCATGGCATCCTCAAGTTTCTCTAGCCTCTCCTTCCATGTTTTGTTTAAGTTCTCCCAAGCATTATTCATCTAGGAAAAAATATGCAGTGAGGTTCTTCAACCAACACCACTTTCTCAGCCCACTAAAATTCCATCTGAATGCCTCATCCATTCCTGCACACCTCATCAATGCTCTTCCTCACTTCAGGCTTCTCAGTTTCTCCACAGGCAAAAATCAAATCTGCTCCCAGGATTCGAATGAACTCCAACTCCTCATGAAGACCATCTGTCTCTTCCTTAATAGTCTAAATGTAATGAACAGAAAATAAGCCAAAACAGAAAGCAGAATAGAACTTTCCAAACTTTGCAAATGTGATTTATATCCTTATCAATAGCAGATGTTCAATGTTCATAATATTTCACTTATCCAGACAGTGAAACTTCAGACTCTAGGTGGTTATTTTTCGTATCTATACACAAAATGTGTCAACTATATATTATGTATAGATTTACCTATACATAAAAAATTATGGGAAAGGTTCAATGAGCTTCAGTAATTCACCGAAGGGAAGCCGAGCATGATGGTTCATGCCCGTAATCCTAGCACTCTCTGGGAGACTGAGGCAGATGGATTGCTTGAGCTCAGGAGTTTAATACCAGTCTGAGCAAGAGTGAGACCCCGTCTCTGAAAAAAATCCAAAAACTAGCTGGGCATTGTGGGAGGCGTCTGTAGTCCCAATTACTCAGGAGGCTGAGATAGGAGGACTGCTTGAATCCAAGAGTTTGAGGTTGCTGTGAGCTGTGATGCCATGGCATTGGACCAAGGGCAAGAGAGTGAGACTCTGTCTCAAAAAAATAAAATATAATAAAATAAAATAAAAAAATAAGAAATTGCCAAAGGTTCATCCATTCCTACTTTCAAAGCGATTACAATCTATACCCAGAAGTCTATTAAGAATGATAAAATAATCAATCAAAAATTTGAACACTGGCGGACTGGTATAAAAGGAGTGCTAGACTCTACAATTTTTTTTTTTTTT